TCGCCCCTGGTGGAGCTAGCGCGTCGCGGAAAAAACGAGCGTGTGCGCCGTTACGAGACGCAGAGATTGGTACCCGATTTTAAGGTCCTAGGTCAACCGGTGACCTCTGAGGTCAGGTCAAGTGCCCCAAGGTACGGTTCAGTTTTTGGTGAATAACTTCGCAAAAAACGGCCGCAGAGCGCCGATTTTGGCAGCATCGTGTTCGTCTCGCTCAGGCGCGTCGAATGATATACTTTTTGTCCGGGTCAGGTCAACTTGGGGTGTTGACCTCAGGTCAAGGTCAGGTCAGCACCCCCAGGTCACGAAGTTGGTCGAAAGAGGTCATGTCGCATAGCATTCGATTCGGCAGGTCTTCCTGAGTCCATTGGTGGCTTTCCCGACTCGCTAGCTCAATTTGATCGCGAGTTATTGACGAAAAACTAATATGACCTTGATGACGTCATAAGTGACGTCACGCAAGGTCAACATTGCAAAAGTGACGCATCTAACCTTGCAAGGAGTGCATAAAATCACGATTCTGTGTGCTTGAGATAGTTGGAGATCGTTCCCGGCGCCAGAATAGCAGTTTTCATTTTTCCCCATTGACTTATAATGGTAAGGTCACGAAAATGACCTGACCTCATATGACCTTTAGGAAAAATCCGAGATATACAAGTTGTGGGACTCATAATGGATACTAGATCCTGCAAGTTTCATTTCCCTGTGACATCTCCTCTGGCAGTGAGGGCGTTGCGAAGTTGCGACATCTGAAGACCGTGCAGAGGTTCACTTATGACGTCATAGGTCAGTGACCTGACCTGACCCAAAAATGCGGTTGGTGTCAAAAGATGCGGCTTGGATCAAAGGTCAGGTATGCCAAGTTTCAGCTCTCTATCGCCAGCGTGTTCGGAGCTATCGCGAAAAAACCCTATGGGGGGGCGGCACCCGCCCCGCCCCCCTCGGCCGGCGAGGGTTAAAGGAATCGATCTCAGTTTTAACATGGCGTAAAGTAAGACCAATACTGTTAAAACTTTTTATGCTTTGACTCAGCTCGATTCTACATACATTGTTATAAGATTGCTATTTTGTCGATTTCAACCATTTTGAAACACCCGACAGCTATAATAGCTCGGGAGCCAATAGAGCTACATCGCCTCGGAAAAGCGCATACGATAGCTCTCATAACGCTCTTTCGCTGCCGTGTCCTCAGATTTGACTTCAGGTCAACGGTTTAGCCTCCAGAGAACAAAAAAAAAAATAGCTCAATTCACGAAAAAATGTTTTTCGGTAATAACTTTTGACTCAAGAGAGCCACGACATTACTTTTACCAGCACCGTGTTCCTTTCATCGAGAGGCGTCGAGTGTAAACGCCGCGAGTTGCTGGGGAGGGGGGGGGGTGTTAAACGCCCCCCCCCCCCATTTTTCGCCGCGCTATAGCATAAAACGTCGCGCCAAATTTTGGGTACCGGTAGGGAATTGATTGAAGTTTATTGTGAAAAGTTTTAAAATAGCGGTCAGAAAATTTTTGAAATATCGAGGTTTTAGTGACGTCATTATTTCTGAGTTTTCGACCAAAAACTGCATATGTTCAAAAAATCATATAAAATTACAGGATAGACATGCAGACCTGCCGTAAACGCCATTCAACTGCCAATACCATGAGCATTCAAAAGGATGTATTCGGTTTTCAGTTGTCGTTTCACATTTCCCAAAATCTTGAACTGATTCTTGGTAATTTTTCGTGACTTCTTCACGACCATGATGCATTTCCTAAATTGACTTTTTGAGTCAAATACGTGCTCGTATGATAAAAAGAATGTCACCATCGTGTTCTATGCCCAAAATTAGCCTAAAAATTTGTGTCAAAGACACAAATTTACAAGTTTTGATTTTCGAGGATATGTGCTTACCTGATTGACCCGACCCTGACCCTGGCCTTTGTTTGACTGACCCCTACATAGAGCTGTTTGACTGACCCCTACATATGTAGAGCTCTTTAAGCCTTTTATGAAGGCTTGTGCACAGTTTTGACAGTTTATCACGACAGGCGCCCATTACGAGGCTCCGAAGTCCATGCTACTGGAAGCCCGATTTCAGGTGTTTGACCTGACTTTGACCCGACCTGTGACCTCAAAATTCAACTTTCAAGCACCCATCTGAAGCGTCTCGTCGCCTTCTTTCGTTTGCCGCCTCCTGTGATTCGCTGCGCGCTTATTGGTTCTCGAGTTATCGCCTGGAGGTGTTCAACGCCCGATTGGACTCATTCGGCGCCTCGGCCGGGGGGCCAGGTAGGTACTGCCTGCTTTTTGGCTCGGCGAGTTTCGGGCGGGATCGAGGCTTTCTGAAAATTTGGTTTGGTCATGTGTTCTTTGTTTAATTTAATTGGAGAAGCGCCTTTGATTTAAGCTTTTTGCTTTTGCGATAATCCTCTATTGTTTTGTTCTCTGTTCTTGTCTACATTTGATGAAATGCCATGAACTGAACTGAACTGAACTGAACTGAACGCCCCCCCCCCCCCTCCAGCAAACGGCTGGTGGCGAAATATCCCAGCAACTGTCGGGTTAAATAATCATTTTAAAATTAAAACTCAGGTAACTTTCAAGGTCATGACCTGACCGGAAGGGGTCATGCTACCCATCAGTCGATACGTATCGTTGAGCTGAACAGTGGCTAGCCGGAGTAGAGCCATATCGACCCAAACCTCTGTTTCGACGGTGTCCGCTTACACTGGCCCGAATCTGGTAGGCCGGAGTTGCCGGGGCAAAACGGACTTAAGCCAGACCAAATTGCTGGCTGGGTATTTTGCGCTTGCGCACATACAGGGCGACGCCTCCAGATCTAAAAAACCGCTGGACCGATTGCATTCAAATTTGGCACACCGCTAAGGGGCCAGTTGGTAGGGTGCCATGCACAACTCACTTTGGAAGCACTCACATGCAGTTCCACACGTGCAAGACGTGGGCTCACCCGACCTCTCGCTCTCTTGTTTATCGCCCCAAAAGGCCGCTACTATCTACTACTGGCTACTGCCAGGTGTAAGATTTTAATTGTCGCATCATGTCACGCATGATGTAGTTGAAAATAACACCGAAAACATGACAATGTGTTTGTGCTAACTTAAGGCATCCTCAGACGTGCATCAGTATTTGCTTTGTAGCCTTTGTATGAGTGTATGTCGGTGTGTGGGTGGTGTGTAGGTGTGTGTGTTGGGGGGGGGAGGGGGTCCGTGCTGCTGTCGGTTGTTTGTCGCGACATTACCTCGGTCAACACTGCGGTGATCCATACGTCCAGAAGTCAGCCTTCGAGCAGCTGTCGAGTGGTGTGCGAGGGGCGCGGCCAGACACCGGGAGACAGACGTGTTTGGCCGGCGCCCATTTCCGGCACGCCGTCAGGGGCCGACGGCTCTGCCATCCTGGGGATCCTGCCCACAGCCCACAGGGGATGGGGGATGGTAGCCTCTGCCATCCTGGGGGTCCTGCCCTGCGGCAGGGGATGGGGGGGGGGGGGGGCAGCGAAGTGGATCGCGCTCACACCGCTCGGCGCATGTTTCAGGACCCATGGAGCAGCAACACTTACATTCCGGTGGTTGCAAAGCAATCCTTTAATCCGCGCCCCGTTGGGGCTCCTGCATTAGCGTCGCCACGGGGGAGAGGGGCAAGCGAGGCAGCTGACTCCCCTTCCCCCCCCCCCACACACACACACCTCTGACCGGGTTCCCCTTGAGATCGATGCAGATCCGATGAGATTTTGGAGTTGGGAAAAATGGGGATAGTTTTCGAGAATGACAGTGAAGTCAGACTCGATTGGAGTCGGAGTCCCAGCCAGTAGGAGTGAGTCACCAAAATCTTCGGGACTTCCGACTCCAGACTTGGGCATGTTTATACTTTAAATTCGATCAATTTCTTGGTTGGTTTCAGCTGAATTTTACATTTGGTTTTCACCAGTCTATAGTCATTGGCCGGATTTTTTAAAGCCTGTCTTTTGTCTAATCGTTTAAAGAGCTTTGATGAAAAGCGCACGTGAAGCCTCGATACTTTTAGCACTAGCCATGTGAAAATATCACCTTGTTGATTTTTCTTTTTTTACTTTCTGTTCGTTCCAATAGCTCGTCTCGTACCGTATCTATTTATGCACTTTAAGCGGTTAAACAGGCTTAAACCATTAATACGCCTTTTTGGGCGACCAACAAGCGAGCGTACCTAATTCATTTATTTCTATACGACTACTATGCCTACTTTCTCGGTGGGGGTGTTTCTTACCAAATATAAATTGACTTTCTGTGGCTGCTAGTGAAAACACAATCCGCCGCGTGAAGGCCGCCACAATAGGATTGCACATCACTTTTTTGATCACTTAGGAGGAGCCCCAGCCAGCAGCGAGAGTCGGGTGCCAACTGGCCGGCGAGGAACCTGCGATAGGCAAGGATGAAAAAGGCCTATGCACAGCGTAATGATGCACTGGAGTAGAATGGAGATGACTCAAGTTGATTCTCATAGACGCTGGAGGAGCCTGTAGACTTGCATTGCGCCTCTTTCGCCCGTTGCTGTTGTTAATGAGAACTAGGCGGCTCCGCTGAGCAGCGGCTGGATCCGTTGGGTTTAAAATGAGTCCGCGCAGAGAAATGGCGCGGCTCAGCGCTACGAAGGTGAGTCCAAGCGCAAATTCATTGGACCCGATGTCGATCCAGACGGCTAGTTTTGTCCAGCCTTGGCACCTGTGGATGGTGACTGCAAATGCCGGAGACAGAGGAGAATCTGCGTTCGGCTGTGGAGTCGCGCTCCCTCCATCCACTTGCTGGTAATGGCAGACACCGGCACTACCTGAGCTTCTCTGGGTTCCATGCTGAGCCCTGGTAACCGGGGAACTCCACGCAGACTGCGGCTGGCAGGGTGTCTTGGCCAGGCGCGTCTGGAGGGTACAGTAGCCCGACCACGGTCCCCTGAGTGCCGTTCGTGAGACCGGCGCTTACCCACATAGTTATTTGATTTCAGCATCACCTTGGCCCCGTCAGTTGGACTACCGGCTCTAGACCACCGGCGTATTCCGCTGACTTTTTCCTGGCTGTGGCGGGCTGGTGGATGGCCTTCAGGTTGAAGCAGGGCCGACCGATGTTCCGCAGCTGACGGCGGTTGATATGCTGCCCCATCTCGTGGCTAGCGACGAGCCGCTGTGCGTCAGCAAACTTACGCCTCTCTTCGTTGGAAAGATGAGTCTCCAGACGGGTTGAGAGGAGCCTATGATCATCAGTGGTGGTGTTCCCGCCTCTGACGTGGGCGAGTCGACGTCGGGAGTGGAACTGCTCCTGTGCTGGTTCGCTACCACGCACAGCGCACAGGCTCCACCCGTATCAGAACGACGGCCTTTCCAAGCTCGGAAGCTGGCGCGGCCGTCTTCACTGAGCCGCCTGCCGCCTGCCGTCGAGTCGAACATTGGCCGATCCATGACGGGGGCAGCTGTCCAAAGTCTCCGACGAGACACACGCTCACCGCGCGGAAGGGCTCGGAGGAGTGGCATGGGAAGGCCCGGCGAAGGCACAGGTCTACAGCGCGCAGAAGCTGTCTCCCCACCATCGACATTTCGTCGATGGTGAGGAGCCGGAGTCCCTCCAGCCGTGTCTGCAGCGCCTGTAGTTGTTCGCCGGTCAGCTCCGGCGGGTCATTTGTCAGTGGCACTGGCACGGACACACACCGATGTAGCGTCTCGCCCGTAATGTTAAAGGCGGCAGTGCCGTGAGCAGCAGTGCCGTGCCGTTAGGCGCGCAGACGCGCAAAAGATGCGCGGACTGCTCGCCGAACTCCTCCAGACACCGCTGCCTCAGACGTGACATGATGAGGGAGCTCTTCCCAGAGCCAGCCGTGCCGCTGACGAGCAAATGGACTGCAGCGGCGTTTGGATAGTACGACGCATGCAGCAGTTGGTATCAGCCCCCGTTCACGAGCTTCAGAATTCCTTTACCGTGACGTCATCACGGCGCATGAATTTTCCTTCACCCATAGCAATGCATGCAAAGCATGGTGTGTTTCAGGCGGTCTAAGGAGAAATCCAAGGCCTATATGTGTTCAAAAGACGTATCACTGAGCCGATGGATTCGTCTCATTACGATAAATGGGGTTGAAATCGAAACACTCGGCCTATATTTATCTAAAATGGGCCAATCAAATGATCCCTGCAACTCATGATGAAGGATTTCCTCTGCGTTAAAAAATTTGTTTGGTGTGTTTTTTTTTTATCAGCGACAGGGGAAATCCTTCATAATTGCTACCAGATTACTACCATATTCCCTCGCATTTCTGTTGCGCATTGCCTCACAAATCAGAGTTTTGTGAAGTTTATACTAATTTAATTGACGTGCATAAAGTTGCATTATATTCACATTCAGATTCGCGTGCACATTCGCGGACCCCTCAGATTTGGCTCAAAATTGCACAGCTTATAGATTTTGAGCTCCTGATTGCGAAAATCATGTTTTTATTTCACGCCGTCAAGTGGTTCTCAAAATATTCACATTTGTATTACTGCCAACATATTCTGGACCGTAACCCTTATTGGAAAAATCGGACCCCTCCAAATTCCTCAAAAACTCCTGAGTTGATGTAAACATAAGCGCTGATCCAAAAAACTAATTTGTACTTAACGCCGTCCCATAGTTTTCTCAGGATGAGCATCTAAAGTTCAAGGTCGTTCAAGGTCATGTACCTTTTCTCACCTTTTGGCGCTATTTGACACGTGACAGCTTTATATTTATGATGGACATTCGCACTACCTCCTACAAAAACAATATACTGAAATCCAAGAGGCGTTGCTGTACCAAAATGTAAAAAAAGCGTCAAAACCTCTTTCATACAGCTAACAGTTAAATACAAGGGATATTCGAATTTGCCACACATAAAGCAAATTTGTCGGACATGGTCGGACCCCTCCGATATCGTTCAAAATCTCAGAAATGATGCTCATTGACCTCCTGAACATGAAAATGGTACTCCCTTTGAACGCCGTCAAGAACTTTTCCAGATATACGCATCCATGCACATTCAAATTGCATAGGTGCTGCATATGGACGTTCGGCGGACCCCTCCGATTTCGTTCAAAATATCAGGAATGATGCTCCTTGACCTCCTGAACATGAAAATGGCACTCCCTTTGAACGCCGTCAAGAACTTTTCCAGATATACGCATCCATGCACATTCAAATTGCATAGGTGTTGCATACTCGTATGCACGTTCGGCGGACCCCTCCGATTCCGTTCAAAATCTCAGGAATGATGCTCCTTGACCTCCTGAACATGAAAATAGTACTCCCTTTAAACGCCGTCAAGAACTTTTCCAGATATACGCATCCATGCACATTCAAATTGCATAGGTGATGCATATGCACGTTCGGCGGACCCCTCCGATTTCGTTCAAAATCTCAGGAATGATGCTCCTTGATCTCCTGAACATGAAAATGGTACTCCCTTTGAACGCCGTCAAGAAATTTTTCCAGATATGCGCATCAATGCACATTCAAATTGCATAGGTGTTGCATATGCACGTTCGGCGGACCCCTCCGATTTCGTTCAAAATCTCAGGAATGATGCTCCTTGATCTCCTGAACATGAAAATGGTACTCCCTTTGAACGCCGTCAAGAAATTTTCCAGATATGCGCATCAATGCACATTCAAATTGCATAGGTGTTGCATATGCACGTTCGGCGGACCCCTCCGATTTCGTTCAAAATCTCAGGAATGATGCTACTCGACCTCCTGAACATGAAAATGGTACTCCCTTTGAACGCCGTCAAGAACTTTTCCAGATATACGCATCCATGCACATTCAAATTGCATAGGTGTTGCATATGGACGTTCGACGGACCCCTCCGATTTCGTTCAAAATCTCAGGAATGATGCTCCTTGACCTCCTGAACATGAAAATGGCACTCCCTTTGAACGCCGTCAAGAACTTTTCCAGATATACGCATCCATGCACATTCAAATTGCATAGGTGTTGCATATGCACGTTCGGCGGACCCCTCCGATTCTGTTCAAAATCTCAGGAATGATGCTCCTTGACCTCCTGAACATGAAAATGGCACTCGCTTTGAACGCCGTCAAGAACTTTTCCAGATATACGCATCCATGCACATTCAAATTGCATAGGTGATGCATATGCACGTTCGGCGGACCCCTCCGATTTCGTTCAAAATCTCAGGAATGATGCTCCTTGATCTCCTGAACATGAAAATGGTACTCTCTTTGAACGCCGTCAAGAACTTTTCCAGATATGCGCATCAATGCACATTCAAATTGCATAGGTGTTGCATGTGCACGTTCGGCGGACCCCTCCGATTTCGTTCAAAATCTCAGGGATGATGCTCCTTGACCTCCTGAACATGAAAATAGTACTCCCTTTGAGCGCCGTCAAGAACTTTTCCAGATATACGCATCCATGCACATTCAAGGTGCATAGGTGTTGCATATGGACGTTCGGCGGACCCCTCCGATTTCGTTCAAAATCTCAGGAAAGATGCTCCTTGACCTCCTGAACATGAAAATAGTACTCCCTTTGAACGCCGTCAAGAACTTTTCCAGATATACGCATCCATGCACATTCAAATTGCATAGGTGTTGCATATGCACGTTCGGCGGACCCCTCCGATTCCGTTCAAAATCTCAGGAATGATGCTCCTTGACCTCCTGAACATGAAAATGGTACTCCCTTTGAACGCCGTCAAGAACTTTTCCAGATATACGCATCCATGCACATTCAAATTGCATAGGTGTTGCATATGGACGTTCGGCGGACCCCTCCGATTTCGTTCAAAATCTCAGGAACGATGCTCCTTGACCTCCTGAACATGAAAATGGCACCCCCTTTGAACGCCGTCAAGAACTTTTCCAGATATACGCATCCATGCACATTCAAATTGCATAGGTGTTGCATACTCGTATGCACGTTCGGCGGACCCCTGCGATTCCGTTCAAAATCTCAGGAATGATGCTCCTTGACCTCCTGAACATGAAAATGGCACTCCCTTTGAACGCCGTCAAGAACTTTTCCAGATATACGCATCCATGCACATTCAAATTGGTTGCATATGCACGTTCGGCGGACCCCTCCGATTTCGTTCAAAATCTCAGGAATGATGCTCCTTGATCTCCTGAACATGAAAATAGTACTCCCATTGAACGCCGTCAAGAACTTTTCCAGATATACGCATCCATGCACATTCAAATTGCATAGGTGATGCATATGCACGTTCGGCGGACCCCTCCGATTTCGTTCAAAATCTCAGCAATGATGCTCCTTGACCTCCTGAACATGAAAATAGTACTCCCTTTGAACGCCGTCAAGAACTTTTCCAGATATGCGCATCAATGCACATTGAAATGCATAGGTGTTGCATATGGACGTTCGGCGGACCCCTCCGATTTCGTTCAAAATCTCAGGAATGATGCTCCTTTACCTCCTGAACATAAAAATGGCACTCCCTTTGAACGCCGTCAAGAACTTTTCCAGATATACGCATCCATGCACATTCAAATTGCATAGGTGATGCGTATGCACGTTCGGCGGACCCCTCCGATTTCGTTCAAAATCTCAGGAATGATGCTCCTTGACCTCCTGAACATGAAAATAGTACTTTCTTTGAACGCCGTCAAGAACTTTTCTAGGTATACGCATCCAAGCACATTCAAATTGCATTTGAATGTGCATGAATGCGTATATCTGGAAAAGTTCTTGACGGCGTTGAAAGGGAGTTCCATTTTCATGTTCAGGAGGTCAAGGAGCATCATTCCTGAGATTTTGAACGAAATCGGAGGGGTCCGCCGAACGTCCATATGCAACACCTATGCATTTTAATGTGCATTGATGCGCATATCTGGAAAAGTTCTTGACGGCGTTCAAAGGGAGTACTATTTTCATGTTCAAGAGGTCAAGGAGCATCATTCCTGAGATTTTGAACGAAATCGGAGGGGTCCGCCGAACGTGCATATGCATCACCTATGCAATTTGAATGTGCATGGATGCGTATATCTGGAAAAGTTCTTGACGGCGTTCAAAGGGAGTACTATTTTCATGTTCAGGAGGTCAAGGAGCATCATTCCTCTGATTTTGAACGAAATTGGAGGGGTCCGCCAAACGTGCATATGCAACACCTATGCAAT